TGGCGTCTACCAGCGGCTCCAGTGCTGTGACCTGCCAGTACCAGCTTCAGACCGGGCCTCTCCGCGGCACTCTGTGCCGCCGCCCGCACCCGACCGCCCGCTGTTTCCGCCGCCTCGACGATCTTTTCCGTCGTCGCTTTGGCCCGGCCCCGGACCTCCCCGACTGGCACAGCCTGCTCCGCCAGGGCGTGCCGATCTTTGAGTTAGACATGGATCAGATAGGTGCTGCTTTGCATGCTTTGTCTGCTGACGCTTCTAGTGTTGATGGATCTTACTACCCTGTGTACTCTAGTTTAGGTGTTTCACCCTTGTGTAGCTTAGCTTCCCCTGCTGCGACAGGCGTAGGACTGCCTAGGTTGCCTAGTCTAGTCGCTGCACCGGCTCCGTCCCCGGCCTCCGCCACTGCGTCGCTGTCCTTCACTCTCGACTCTGGTGCTTCTGCCTGCTTCTTCCGCGATCGTTCCACGCTCACGCCGCTTGCTGCACCTGCTGTTGTCTCTCTCGCTGACCCCTCTGCGGGTCCGGTCGTCGCGCGCAGTTCTACGTCCCTTCCCTGTCCGGCAGCTCCCTCGGGCTCCCTTACTGGCCTCCACGTTCCCTCGTTCTCCAGGAACCTGGTTGGTGTCGGCTGTCTCCAGGACCTCGGCGTCACCACCACGTTCCCCGGGCACGAGCGGTTCGCTGTCTGTTCTGAGGCTGTCTCAGGTTCCCCCCTTGCGACGTTCCCCCGGGACCCGGTGTCCGGTCTGTTTACCCTACACACCGCTTCCCCCCCGGTTGGTGCGTCCTCCCAGGTCGCTGCAGCTTGCTCGTGTCGGTCCCTCACTCACCCCTCCCTTCTCTGGCACCACCGCTTAGGTCACCCTGCTCTCCCGCGTCTGCGTCACATGTCCCAGCACGGTCTTGTCTTAGGTCTCCCCGCGTCGCTCCCTGCCCTTCCTCCCTCGACTGCGCCACCGTGCACGCCTTGCGTCGAGGGTCGGCTCCGCCGTGCTCCTCACTCCTCCTCGCTGCGTCCTGCTACTGCCCCCCTTCAGACCCTGCACTTGGACGTTTGGGGCCCTGCCCCCGTCCCCGGACCGCGCGGTGAGCGCTACTTCCTTGTGCTTGTCGACGACTACACGCGCTACACCACGGTGTTTCCCCTGGAGCGGAAGGCCGACGTGCCCGACGTTCTTCTCCCGTGGGTTGTGGCTGCGCGTCTCCACCGCGGTCTCCCCGTGTTGTGTCTCCACTCCGACCGTGGCGGCGAGTTCGCCTCTGGTCGGCTTGGACAGTTCTGTCGTGCGGAGGGCATCACCCAGTCGTACACGTTGCCGGACTCGCCACAGCAGAATGGGGTTGCTGAGCGCCGCATCGGCTTGGTCATGGAGGTCGCCCGTACCTCCATGATCCATGCCGATGCCCCCCATTTTCTGTGGCCGTTCGCTGTTCGCTACGCGGCTCACCAGCTTAACCTGTGGCCACGCTCCCAGCGGCCGCAGGTTTCGCCGACCCTCCTTTGGACCGGGTCCCCCGGTGACGCGTCTGCGTTCCACGTCTGGGGCTGCCTTGCTCACGTTCGTGCCTCTGGCACGGACAAGCTCACTGCCCGCACTGTCCCCTGTGTCTTCCTCGGTTTCCCCCTGGACTCGTCTGACTGGCTTTTCTACCACCCGCCGTCTCACCGCTTCCTCCACTCTCGTGACGTCACCTTTGATGAGTCCGTCTCCTTCTACCGCCGCTTCCCTCACCGAGGTCTCCCAGTTGCCCCCCCCCTTTTCCTTGCTCCCTCTCCCCCGGTAGCCCCTGCCCCTCTCCCGCCTCGTCCTGCCCCGTCTGGTGTCTCCCACGTCACTCCCCTCCCGTCGGTTGTCCCCGTTGAGGAGTCTGCTGACTCTGGTGGTACCCCCGGTCCGTCCTTGCCGCGTCCCCCTTCCCCGGTGCCTCCGCCCCCACTGTCGCAGTCGCCGACCCCGCTGCCGCCGCCGTCGCCGTCGCCGCCGCAGCCGTCGCCGCTGTCGTCGCCGCCGCCGCCGCTGTCGCTGCCGCAGCCGTCGCCGCTGTCGCCGCCGCCGCAGCCGTTGCCGCCACTGCCGCCGCTGCTCTCGGCCCCTGGGGGTGCTGGTGTGGAGGAGGGTGTTCGTCCTGCGGCTTCTGGGGGTGCCGCTGGTGTTGGAGGGGGTTCTCGCTCTGGGGGTGTTGGTTCTGGGGGTGCTGCTGTTGAGTGTTCTGCCGACGGTCGTTCTGCCTCTGCTGGTCCGAGAGTTCCGGCCCAGCCGTCGTCGCCGCCGCAGCAGCCGTCGCCGCCGGTTTCCGCTCTCCGCCTGCTCGGCCTTCCCTCCCCGGACCGCGCGCCGGTGTCTCCCCCACCGCCTCCTGACCTCCCTGTCTACGGTCCTGTGTTCCCGCCGCCAGACTCGTCTCCGGCCCGTCTTCCTCCTCGTTCCCCTCCTGTGTCTCCTCCGCTGTCCCCTGACCCTACCCCTCCGTCTCACGTTTGGGCTCGCCGTCCCTCCCGTGCTCGTCCCGTCTCTCCTGTCCTGCCCACCCACCCTATGTTGCTCCGTTCCCACTCGTCTCGTCCTCCCCTCCTCCCGTCCCCTCCTCCCTCGTCCCTTGCTGTTGCACCTCCTCCGTTCTCTGACTACCTCCGTGCTGCTCGTCCCCTTGTCCCTCGGGTCCTTGCCTCTCTTGTTACCGACCCTGCTGTTCCTGTCTCGCGCCTTGACGCGCTTGTCGCTGCTGTCGCTGACTTCGCTTCTACCCGCCGCCTTGACTACGCTACCGCTCTGGTCTCTGACCCTGCCCGTCCTCTGTCCGTCGGGGGTGCTCCTGCCCTTGGCAGTGACGTCCTAGAGGACAGGCAGTACGAGCTGGCTTTCCTTTCCGAGGCTGCTCCCCATCTCTGCTCCATGCTGTTAGTCCCTGAGGGTGACCCAGACGCCTTCGACATCCCGACCCCTCGCACCTACGCTGAGGCCACCTCGGGACCTTGGGCCTCTCAGTGGATAGCTGCCATGGAGCAGGAGATGGCATCTTGGAGATCCACCGGCACTTACGTCGACGCAGTTCCCCCGCCTGGGGTGAACGTAGTCGATGGTCGGTGGCTCTTCAAGGTGAAGCGCCCCCCTGGAGAGCCGCCTGTCTTCAAGGCGCGCTACGTGGCCAGAGGTTTCAGTCAGCGCGAGGGGGTTGACTTCTTCCAGACCTTCGCCCCGACCCCGAAGATGACCACTCTTCGGGCGCTGCTACACGTAGCAGCACAGCGTGACTACGAGCTTCACTCCCTCGACTTCTCTACTGCCTTTCTTCAGGGCAGCCTACACGAGCAGGTCTACCTGCGCCGACCACAGGGCTTCACTGGTACCTTCCCTCCTGGGACCCAGTGGCTTCTCAGGCGCCCGGTCTACGGCCTGCGTCAGGCTCCCTGCGAGTGGCACGACACGCTACGTGCCACGTTAGCAGACCTGCAGTTCTTTCCGTCCTCTGCTGACCCTTCACTGTTTGTGCGTTCCGGCCAGACTCCGTTCTACATCCTTGTCTACGTAGACGACCTGGTCTTCGCTACTCCTGACAGGGACGCACTGGCCTCTGTGAAGGCTGAGCTGCTGAAGAGACACACCTGCACTGACCTTGGAGAGCTGCGTCGCTATCTTGGCCTGCAGATCTCTAGGGACAGAGCAGCACGCACCATCACTCTGACCCAGTCACACTTGGTGCGTCAGGTCCTTCAGAGGTTCGGTCTTCAGTTCTCCTCCGCACAGCCCACACCTCTACCCGTAGACCATGGGCTCTCTGCTCCCGTTCCTGAGGAGCCAGTAGAGCCCAGTGGCCCCTACGCAGAGCTGGTGGGTTGCCTCATGTACCTGATGACTTGCACTCGCCCAGATCTCGCATACCCTCTCAGCATCCTGGCTCGCTTTGTGGCTACAGGCAGACACCGACCTCAGCACTGGTCTGCCGCTAAGAGGGTTTTGCGTTATCTTGCTAGTACATCAGGCATGGGGTTAGTGCTAGGAGGACGCAGGCCAGTGGTCCTTACTGGGCACACAGACGCTTCTTGGGCAGACGACGCTGAGACGCTCAGGTCGTCGCAGGGCTACTGTTTCAGCCTTGGTTCGGGTGCTATCTCTTGGAGATCCACTCGCTCGTCGTCTGTGGCTCAGTCTAGCTGTGAGGCTGAGATCTACGCTGGTGCCATGGCGGCACAGGAGCTCCGCTGGCTGACCTTCTTGCTCACAGACTTAGGTGAGCGGCCTAGCTCTGCCCCGGTCCTGTACGCTGACAACAGGGCCATGATACTCCTGTGTCAGGAGCCTCGGCTTGAGGGCAGAGCGAAGCATATCCAGCTGCGGTACTTCCTCCTGCGCGAGCTACAGCAGCGCCGCCAGGCCCGCGTAGTTCACTTGGCCTCAGGTGCCAACACAGCTGATATCTTTACTAAGGCGCTTGCGCCTAAAGATCATCAGCGGCACTGTGTACAGCTTGGTCTTGTTCCTATAGCTGCTCCCCTGTTAGGATCCTGATTGTGTACTCTCTATTATATATGCTTGTCAGACTGGCCTTGTGGCCTTACCTCCAGTGGCTGGACTAGTAGTGCCACCCTGGCTTGCTTCAGTTTTGGTTGTATTCTTGCTGACTGGTCTCCAGACCCCTGCCTCAGTGGTTGGACTAGTAGTGCCGCCCTGAGCTGTTTGCTTCTTGTTTAGTTTCACCCCTTGTCTAGCCTAGGGGGTGTGTCAACTTATACATATTATCTATGTAGAAGTTATAGGCTAGACTGAGGTATGCTTCTAGTGAGTACAACCAACTAGTATTTGTTCTAGGTTTCCACCTCTAGTAATCATTCGTTTTCTACGTTAACACCCTTGCAATCGCTACGATCGGTCGTAACCTCCAGTTGCGACCCTTCGAGTCCTTTTGTCCTTTCGTGTTCTTTCGTCCAACCTCCTCGTGTAACCTCCGTTGACTCGCATACTCGATACGGCTTTCCTCGAGTGTAGTGTCACACCAGAAACGCTTAAGTCCTTGAGGTATTTCCAACATACACCATGTAAGAATGCTTCATTTCATCAGCTACGGCATGCCATGCAATCCTAGTAAACCATTGACTTTTCCATTCCAAACCAGCAGTCTTGGGCTACGGTAAGCTGTGCCAGGTAATCCCCAGATCCCCCCCGTCCCAAGCCTCTCTCCTTCCACTGTACCTATCGCAGACTAGCATAGCACCTCCACAACTTCTCCGCGTTTATCTGCCCCACCACCACCTTCACTACCCTGAAAAGCGGAGTCAGCCAAATCAGTCAACTGTGGAGTCGTCCTAGAGCAGGTGGGTGACTGGTCAGGTCCCACACCCACACCTGCTCACACATCAGCTCCTCCAGCAAGCGCAACTTCTCCAGCATGCCCACCTTCCGCTCTCTCCCCCCAGCACTGGTGTGCCTAGCGCAGCCTGCTCCCACTTCCTCCACATTGTTTCACGGCAGCTTCACGCTAGTCTGCTCCCTCTCTTCGTTGGAGTCAACTCAAGAGGCACCTCAGGGCAGCCTGGTTAGTTCTTCCACCTTCTTGCAACGCTCTTCAACCGACTCGTTCCTCTGCTGCAGCCGCCACATCCTCCATCCTGCACTGCTCAGGTACGTGTGAGTCGACTCACGGACCATATTCATCCAGCCAGGACACCTTCCTGGTTAGCTCATCCACTTGCACAGCTCCTTAACCAACATGTTCACCTGTGCGGCCACCACTTCCATCCTGCCCCTCTTTAGATCCAAAAACGCCTCAACCAGATCCCCGTCAATCAAGCTCCCGCCTGGAGGACGCCTCCACCAGATCCCCCCTCCCTTCCCCAGTGCTAGTGCGTGCCTAATGCAGCCGGGTCAGCTCCTCCACCTTCTTGCAGAGCTCCTCCACCGACACGTTCATCTGCCCCGCCACCTCCTCCATCCTGCCCCGCTTGAGGTCCAGAAACGCCTCCACCAGATCCCCGTCGATGAAGCTCTTGGCGTCCACCGTCTTGCGCTCGTTGTGGAAGCTGCGCCACTCCGCGTGAGACAGGCCGCCGACGCCCTTGATGACCTTGGTCAGGCACACCTGCAGGAGGGAGTAGGAAAGAGAAGGCATGTTTTGAGTCTACTTGAAACCGAAGCTCTTAGCGTCCACCGTCTTGCGCTCGTTGTGGAAGCTGCGCCACTCCGCATGCGACAGCCCGCCCATGCCCTTGATGACTTTTGTCAGGCACACCTGCAGGGGGAGCAGGAAAGAGAAGGCGTGTTTTGAGTCTACTTCAATCTGAAGCTCTTAGCGTCCACCGTCTTGCGCCCGTTGTGGAAGCTGCGCCACTCCGCGTGAGACAGGCCGTCCAAGCCCTCGATCACCTTGGTCAGACACACCTGCAAGGGGAGCAGGGAGGAGAAGAGCAGGGAGGAGAAGAGGTCCTTGGGCACACTATTAGTTCAAAGAGCAGCAGTCTTGTAAAAAGGTTCACATATGAGAAGAAAAAGATATTAAGACACCTTGATGAGCTTAGTGAGGCACATTTGCGGGCGCTGCGGGAGGGAGAGGTGGTCCTTCGTACATGCTGACTAGATGAGCAGCTGTCAGGTAGACACTCCTGGAGACGACTTACCCAGATTTGAGACGTCTAGTCCAGTTTTGAGGCGCCTTGCAGGCGAGCAGCAGTCTGAAAGATACTGCGAGAATGGCATAATATAGTTATGATGCATGTTGCTCCTGCAGGCGGTGCAGGAAGGAGAAGAGGTCCTGCAGCAGCGAGGCGACTCAGACAGACTCATGACATGTCAAGCTACTAGTTAATGGTCGCGAGGCACGCACCTGCAGGCGGTGCAGGAAGGAAAAGAGGTCTTGCGGCAGCGAGGCGACGACACCGATGGCGCCGCTGACAGTGCCAAAGAGCACCGTGGGGATGTTGGTTGTCTCTGAGTCCGGTAGCCGCATCACCAGGGACCCGTGGCGGAAGCGGTTCACAAACTCGCCCAAGTGGTACTCGCCAACCACCTGCAAAGTGCGAAGGCACAGAGAGGGTTCAAATGTGAAGTGAAGTGTGAGTTTTGGCCACACGGTTGAGATCTCGCTACAACCGAAGGGTTTGAAGACCAAATAAGGAAAGGAAAAGGAATCTTATTGTTGAAACGGAAACAATAGAAGCAGAACATCAAGTAGATGGCTTTACATGCAACATATCTCCAGGCGGCCCCTCTCCTCGTCCGTGGGCGTGTCGCCGTTCTTGCGCACGGTGAAGAGGTTGAAGCTGTTCTCATTCCCAGAGAGCATAAGCAGCCAAGGCCGCTCTCTCAGCTACACCTCTCACCTCCAGGCGGCCTCTCTCCTCGTCCGTGGGTGCGTCGCCGTTCTTGCGCACGGTGAAGAGGTTGAAGCTGTTCTCATTCCCAGAGAGTATAAGAAGCCAAGGCCGCTCTCTCAGCTACAACTCTCACCTCCAGGCGGCCTCTCTCCTCGTCCGTGGGCGCGTCGCCGTTCTTGCGCACAGTGAAGAGGTTGAAGCTGTTCTCGGCGCCGATGTACACGTCATCGTCCAAGATCTCGACAGCTGTCATCCAGTTGGCGTTGAAGTCCCGCGCACGCAGCTCCAGCGCACCCTCCTCTTGCTGGTGGGGGGGAAATGAGCAGGGCAGTGACAGGAGAGGAGGGGGAAACCGAGGACAAGACACACAGAGCTAATTTCTTACATGCTGAACTCCCACGCCTGAAGCTCCGGTGCACTGCCCTCTAGTCAGAGAGGAAGGTAGAGGTAAGGAAAGAACATTTTGAGTCGACGTGTATTTTGAGTTGACTCAAAAGTCATCTGAGACTAGAGAAACGATGGAGAGACAAGGTCGATCCGGTAGCCAGGACACAATGAGACTGGAGTATAGGACAGGATGGGAAAAGGGACGCAAAAACGGGAGAGAAAGCAGAGGGCAAGAGAACTCACCACCAGCGCTAGTTTCATTGTGGCTGGCTGCCATTAGGTGGCAATCAAAATTTGACAGGTGTCACCTCATGTGCACGCACCTTATACACAAGCAGCGACATGCTCTTCATCAGGTCCCCCACTACAATGAAGTCTCCCCGGCATGCGGCATACAGCGCCAGGATGTGCCCAAAGTGCGTGCAGGCTGCACTCCACCAGCAGCTCCCTCCCTCCCCCACTCACCTTGTGTACCCACGCTGCCACACACCTTATACACAAGCAGCGACATGCTCTTCATCAGGTCCCCTACAACGATGAAGTCCCCCCGACAAGCGGCATACAGCGCCAGGATGTGTCCGAAGTGCCCGCACTCCACCAGCAGCTCCCGCGCGCCGTCGTCCCGCGCCGCCCATCGGAAGAGCTGCACCTTGTTGTTGATCCCCGCCAGCAGCTTGCCGTTGAACGCGTTTAAGTTGTACACTGCGCCCTTGGTCTCCTTTTCTGCAGCCACATGGAGTTTACCCCCCTCTACTGACAGGACTAGGATGCGACCCTGCATGCACGGAGAGAGGGGGGTGGAAAGTGGAGGGTGGAGGGAGAGGAAGACGCGGGTGAGGCTTTAGTTGTCCCGCGCGGCCCATCGGAAGAGCTGCACCTTGTTGTTGATCCCAGGCAGCAGCTTGCCGTTGAGCGCGTTCAGGTTGTTCACCGCTCCTTTCGTTTCCTTCTCTGCTGCCACCTGCACCTTACCCCCTTCCACCGACAGCACCAGAATTCGGCCCTGCATGCACGAAAATCGCGCAGGCGCGAATGGGGAGGGAAGAGGAAGAAGGGTGAAGCAGCTTGGAAAGAGTGCGCTTCATCCATAGTTCACAGCACTCCACAGGCAACTATCTGGCACCGTCATCCATTGCAGCTGCCACATGCAGCTTGCTGCCCTCCACTGACAGCACTAGGAAGCGGCCCTGTGGGCAGGAAGAGGGGGATGGGCAGAGGAAACACAGAGCGCGTCCAGGTTGTACCGCCTCCCACCGCACCCTTGCCTCCTTCACTTTACCCCGCAACTGAGACAGCACCAGGGCGCAGCCGTGCAGACAGGAGAGCGGTGGTGGACAGGGAGGGGATGAATTGAGCGAGGCAGACAGAGAACTGGTGCTGCAGACCGTCAGTCAAGCTCCCAAGTTGAGAAATATCGCTACCTCTGCCTACGAACGCAGGCAGCCCCCTCTGCGGGGGGCAATAGACAAAGCCAAGAAAACGTTGGAAGGAGGTGGCTGCTTGGGAAGAAAACGGGGGGTTGTGAAAAATGCGAAAATTAGAGAGCGTGAGGAGTTGACACGGAGAGAAAAGGTGGGAGTCAAAATGAGAAGAGAGGGTACACCGGGGGTATAGAGGTACCTTGGTGGGTTCTTGCTCGTCTGGGAAGGCGAAGGCGGTGCCGACAACGATGTAGACCGTTGGATCGTCTGCAAAGCAGCAGGAGATGATGGAGCAGCCGTTCTCGAAGGGCTCGAGAGGCAGGTGGGACAGCTGGTCGAAGGTCTGATCGCTCAGCAGCCGTACGAAGTGGCTCTCCGCTTCCTCTCCATTGATCTGCAGAGCGGGGGGGGGGTTCAAAAAAAGAAGCAGCAGGAGATGATGGAGCACCCGTTCTGAAGGGCTCTAAGGGCAGGTTCGAGAACCACACCTGGTGGTTCGAGAGCTGGACGAAGGTTTGGTGGCTCAAGAACCACACCTGGTGGTTCTCTGCCTCCTACCGTTCACCCGTAGTGGGGTGGTGGGGAGGGAAGGCGGGGGGGACGGGGATCAGGAGACGACAGAGACAGGTGTTCTCAAAAGGTCAGTAGCAGGTGGGAGAACCGGTCGAACGAGTGACCGCTGAATAGATGCACGTGGGCGGCTCTCTGCCTTCGCTCTGTTCATTTGAGAAAGGTGGTTGCATGAAGTGAAGTGCAAGGGATTGTGAATGAAGTGTGAATGACGGGGATGCCAACAGGCAGCGACAACACACAGACGAGCAGTGAGCGCAACACCACAATGCGGCCCATAACCTTTACTTATGATCGAAAAGAAACAGCTTATCTCACAAAAAGTCCTTCAATATTGGTGCATGCAATGCAGCATGACTCACCAGGCTGACTTTAATGGTGGTGACTGCAATGGAGTGTGACTGTTCGTGGTGGCAGATGCGGCGGGGCTGCTCCCTCAGAGGCACGGTGCGGATGTGAAGCTTTTGGATGTCGTCGATGGTGCCGATGGTGAGGTCGCCCTCCTTCGCTAGTGCTAGACTGTGTAGTTTCAACGGGGGGAGGCGGGAGAGGAGAGACATCGAAAGAAGCGGGGAGGAGGGAGGACGGGGGTGGAGCTTCTGAATGCCGTCGATGAGCCCGATGGTCAAATCGCCTTTGTCGATTGTGCTAGAGTGTGTGGTTTCAACGAGGGGATGGGGTGGAGAGATATGGAAAGCAGTGGGGAGGAGGGAGGCCGTGGGTGGAGCTTCTGAATGCCGCCGATGAGGCCGATGGTCAGGCCACCTTCCTTTGCCAGTGCTAGGCCGGGCAAGCACATGGAGGGGAGAAGGGCAGGAGAGAGAGGGGCGGAATGGAGGGAGGGATGCGGGCAGAAGAATGTGCGAGAGGCTCTGAATGCCGCCAATGATGCCGATGGTCACATCACCCTCCTTTGCTAGTGCTAGACTGTGAGGGTTCAGTGGGGGAGGAGAGGGAGTGGGAGAGACATGGAAAGGAGGGGAGGAGGGAGGATGAGCGCAGCTTCTGAATGTCAACAGCCGCCAATGGTCAGATCGCCCTCCTCTCGCCCCTCTCCCTCTCCCTCTCCCCACCCCTCTCCCTCTCCCCTCCTGCCCCTCGCACCTATCAGGGAACGAGGCGCAGTTGAAGGGGCACATGTGCGTGACCTCCTTGAGGTTCACGTTCGAGTACAGCAGCTTGCGGTTGCTGCTGTGGATCACTGTCGGCCGGTCGGACGCCGCAAACACATGTGTGGCATCGCGCGACCGGAAGGTGCGCAGCGCGATGGGCTGCGTGCCCAGAGACACCTTTTTGCGGTCGGACAGCTGGCCGGACTCGCGGTCCAGCTGGAAGTTGAAGAGATGGCCGTCGCCCAGCGCACACAGGAGGTACGGCACCTGGAGTGAAGTGGGGAAGGGGGGGAGGATGGGGGGAGCGGAAGATTGGTGGCTAATTTGCAAGCGGACTCATGGGTTACGCAGTCTAAAGAAAAGCGTACACGTGCGTGGAGTCGTGCGACCAGAACGTGTGCAGTGCGATGGGCTGCATGCCCAGGCCAGAGAGACCTTTTTGCGGTCAGACAGCTGCCCCAAATTGATTGAGTTTGGAGGGGAGTGACTTGTGGGAAGGACAGTGTCATGATTTGGGAGGGGGGTAGGTGTCAGGGGGGCGGGGTGACTAGTGGGAAGGGAAGTGGATTGTGAACCTCCTCATGCGAAACAAGAGTACCCACCTGCTCCAGGCAGCACATGAGCACGGAGCGCGGGATGACGTCCCCCCCCAGCACCTCCTTGTGCACCTCCTCCAGCCCCGGCAGCCGCAGCACCCTGATGCTCATGTCCGTCCACATGCCCACCGCCGCCAGACCTGCCCTGGGAACAGTGCCTGGGGGAGGCAAGGGGGGTTAACGGAGGTTAATGGGGGGGTAAGGGGAGGTAAGGGGCATGAGGCCCGGGCAGCCAGCACGTGGATGCTCATGCCCGTCCACATGTCCACCGCCAACAAACCTGCCCTGGGAACGGTGCCTGGAAAAGGGGAGGTTGAGGGTGGTGAGGAGCATGGCTGAGGGTGGTGAGGGCTTCAAGATGCATGCTTCTACTGGCACCGCCGCTGCACGCGGACGCTCATGTCCGCCCACATGCCCATTGCCGACAGGCCAGCCCTGGGGACGGTGGCTGTGGACACAGAAGATGGTGATGAGTGTAATGGGTGGGATGCATGATATGATCTGATCTGACATGGTTCATTATCACACTCGAATGCTCATGCTCGCCCATGTCCCATGCATCGTGCACCATGCACCATACACTATTCACCATACAACATCCACCATGCATGCACCATCGACCACGCACCGACCGACCACGCACTATGCAACATACACAAAGCATCATACACGATGCACCATGCATGACACACCATACGCCATCCATCCACTAACCCACCCACCATCGCCATGCACCCACCATCGCCATGCACCCACCATCGCCATGCACCCACCATCCGCCATGCACCCACCATCCGCCATGCACCCACCATCCGCCATGCACCCACCATCCGCCATGCACCCACCATCCGCCATGCACCCACCATCCGCCATGCACCCACCATCCGCCATGCACCCACCATCCGCCATGCTGTTGTCGTCAGTGAGCGTGCTGACATCGAGACACGCTATCTCATGCTCCAGAGTGACATGGGCCTTCTCAGTCAGCGACTTCTCCCCCACCTCCACATACACCAGCGTGCCGCCGCCTGTGGCAAGAAGGACCTGCAGGGACCAGTGAGCAATGAGATACAAGGCACATCAGTAGCCATCTACATACACACACCAATGTGCCAACCATCTCCATCTCCAACATGTGGGTCGTCACAGTCAGCGACTTCTCCCCCACCTCCACATGCATACACCAGCATGCGCCCTCCCTCCTGCAGGCAACAGCACCTGAAAACGGGCACGGATTCGGTTGAACAGGGGGCATCAAAGCGGCTCAAGTGAAAGGGAAGCAGCGGCCACAGTGATGCGCGCTGATGACTCCTGTTGACTACCACCGCATCCTGTTGACCCTCAGTCAACCTCACCTATGAGAGGTTAGAAGTGGCCACGCTGATGGACACCCAAGACTCCCATTGAACCAAATTGACGTCACCTGTGAGAGGTTGGCAGGTGCCATGACAGCAAACACTCCCGTGCTGCTGCGTTCCGTGCTGATTCCCTTAGACTCTCTTTGACTCCCTGTGGACTCGTGGTCAACCCAACCTGGAAGAGATTAGCCGTGGCCACGAAAAGTAAACACTCCCGCTGGTGCCTTCCCTCTGATTCCTGTTGACTCTATCTTTGACTTCCATTGACTCGTGGTCAACCTCACCTGTGAGAGGTTAGCCGTGGCCACATTGATGGACACGCCAGCCGGTGCCTTCCAGTCTGCCACCTGCTGCAGTGAGTGCGCGTCCACCAGGCGCAGCTCGGAGGACGTCACCTGGGGGATGATGAGCACGGGGGTGAGAAGGATCAAGGGGTAGGAGGAAGTACAGGAAACCATGAGGGGTCAGGAGGGGACTAACAGCCTTCCACTCCGCCACCTGCTGCAGCGAATGTGCGCCCACCAGGTGTAGCTCAGTCAGAGGATGTTGCCTGGATAAGAGGGGATAAGGTACGAGGGGATAAGGTGCGAGGGGATAAGGTACGAGGGGATAACGTACAGGGGGATAAGGTACGAGGGGACAAGGTACGAGGGGATAAGGTACGAGGGGATAAGGTACGAGGGGATAACGTACGGGGGGATAAGGTACGAGGGGACAAGGTACGAGACGAGGGGATAAGGTACGAGGGGATAAGGTACGAGGGGATAAGGTACGAGGGGATAAGGTGCGAGGGGATAAGGTACGAGGGGATAAGGTACGAGGGGATAAGGTACGAGGGGATAAGGTACGAGGGGATAACGTACGGGGGGATAAGGTACGAGGGGACAAGGTACGAGACGAGGGGATAAGGTACGAGGGGATAAGGTGCGAGGGGATAAGGTACGAGGGGATAAGGTACGAGGGGATAAGGTACGAGGGGATAACGTACGGGGGGATAAGGTACGAGGGGACAAGGTACGAGACGAGGGGATAAGGTACGAGGGGATAAGGTACGAGGGGATAAGGTACGAGGGGATAAGGTGCGAGGGGATAAGGTACGAGGGGATAAGGTACGAGGGGATAAGGTACGAGGGGATAAGGTACGAGGGGATAAGGTACGGGGGGATAAGGTACGAGGGGATAAGGTATGAGGGGATAAGGTACGAGGGGATAAGGTATGAGGGGATAAGGTATGAGGGGATAAGGTACGAGGGGATAAGGTATGAGGGGATAAGGTACGAGGGGATAACGAGTGAGTAGACGACAGTGAAGGGGGAGAACAGCCTTCCACTCCGCCACCTGCTGCAGCGAGTGCGCACCCACCAGGCGTCGCTCAGACAACGTCACCTGGGATGATGAGAGGGGGGTGAGAGGGGGTTGAGATGGGCCTGGAGGGCACCGACAGGCTTCCACTCCGCTACCCGCTGCAGAGAGTATGCGTCCACCAGGCGCAGCTCGGATGAGGTCAGCTGGAAGAAGGTGAAAGGGGGTTGAAAGGGGAAGAAAGAGAGGATCAGGAGGGCGCCTCCAGCCATACCACATACAGAACCTGTTGCAACGAGAGTGCGTCCACTAGGCGCAGCTCAAACGATGTCACTTGTGGGATGATGAGCGGGGGGTGAGTGGAATGATGAGATAGATGATGAGTGAGATGACAAGCAAGCAGTCAGAAGGAAACTAATATGATGAGGGGGATGACGAAGTGGCAATCAACGGGGAGGGAGTGTGGAAATCTGCATGCAACAAACTCCAATATGGTTGTTGAGGCATCTCACAACACGCCAGGGAAAGAAGGCGAGAGAGAAGGAAGGGGGGAGACTGGGGGGCAAGGGAAGACCGTGAGATACACAAACACCTGCACGATCTGGCCATGCACCGCGTGCCCGCAGAACAGCGTCTGATTTACACAGGTGCCATCACACAAGTGCCCGCAGAACAGCGTCTGACTTACACAGGTGCCATCACACAAGTGCCCGCAGAACAGCGTCTGACTTACACAGGTGCCATCACACAAGTGCCCGCAGAACAGCGTCTGATTTACACAGGTGCCATCACACAAGTGCCCGCAGAACAGCGTCTGACTTACACAGGTGCCATCACACAAGTGCCCGCAGAACAGCGTCTGACTTACACAGGTGCCATCACACAAGTGCCCGCAGAACAGCGTCTGACTTACACAGGTGCCATCACACAAGTGCCCGCAGAACAGCGTCTGACTTACACAGGTGCCATCACACAAGTGCCCGCAGAACAGCGTCTGACTTACACAGGTGCCATCACACAAGTGCCCGCAGAACAGCGTCTGACTTACACAGGTGCCATCACACAAGTGCCCGCAGAACAGCGTCTGACTTACACAGGTGCCATCACACAAGTGCCCGCAGAACAGCGTCTGAGCCTCGGTGTCGAACCCCACCCCAATGCGTCGGTCTCCGAGGCTGCAAGATCTGGTCTCATCGAGCGCGCCCTCGCCCCGCTGATGGCCAGCGAGCAACCAGGTCTCGCTGACGAACGCCACCACCAGAATGGCACTCACTCACGCACACACGCCCATCCCACCACAGCCATAGAGCTGGGTGAGCTGCAACTAAGGAAGACACTTAAGCAGTAGAGTAAACGCCACCACCAGAATGGCACTCACTCACTCACACAAATCCCACCACAGCCGCTGAGGCTCCCCAGGACAGCTGAGGGTAGCGACAGAGAGAGAGAGAGAGAGGGTTGGAGGGGCAGCGAGGGAAGGGCACAGGAGAGTGCTGTGTGACATTGTAACGAGGTGACTTTTGAGGCGACTCAAAAGTCACCTCGACAGACAGAGAGGGTTGGAGGGGCAGCGAGGGGAGGGCACAGGAGATGCATGCACCTGGACAATCTGGTCGTGCGCCACATTCCCACAGAATAGGGTTTGAGCGTTGGAGTCAAAGCCGAGCATGTCGGTCTCGTCGAGCTCGTCCTCGTCGTTGATGGCCAGCGACCGCGTCTCGCTGATGAACGCCACCACCAGGAACGTGTCGTGCGCGTCCCACGTGCCCCGCCGCAGCGACCACATGCCCTTGATTCCTTCAAGCTCCACGGTCGCCTGGAAGGGGTTACAGGGGAGGGGACGAGGGATGGGAAGAGAGGAAAAGAGTGTGTGCATGCCTCGCTGACAAACGCCACCACCAGGAACGTGTCGTGTGCGTCCCACGAGCCCCGGCACAGCGACCACATGCCCTTGATGCCCACCAGTTCTACCCGTTGCCTGGTGCATAGGGGATGGGGCGGGGGCGTAGGAAATGTTTATGTTTTTGCTGTTGCCCTGAGGAACGTGACGTGTGGGTCCCACCCACGTGCCCCTTCGCAGCGACCACATGCCCTTGTTGCCCTCCAGCTCTATCGTCGCCTGGGAGGCAAGGGCGGGGAAGACATTTGAAGTCAATGAATGAATCAATGCGTTTGTGTATGACAGAGAGATAAGGAAAGGAAAGGCGAGGCGTCCAGGCACTGGAGTGGAGTGAGAGCAGACAGCAAAGCGAGCGAGCACCCATATCACTACTCGACTCGCCTGCACAACCACCCACCTGCTCGTTGATCCCGATGCCGTTCCTCACGACGCGAAGAGACCCGTCCCCAAAGGCCCCCGAGCAGGTAACCAGCTGGCCCTGCCCCTGGCGGTCCAGGTCCACCACTGCCATGTCCACTATGGGCCCCAGATTCACAAACCGCTCCAACTCCTCCACATACCCGCCCCCTGCTGCTGGTTGCTCCGATAAGCGCACTAGCTGGCAGAGGGAAGGGGTGTGGGGGAGGTGCAACAGGTGGAAGAATAGGAAATGAAGGGGCAAGTAGGAGGGAGGTAAGTGGAAAGGTGTCCACAACCGCCGTGTCCACTATGGGCCCCATCACAAACCGCTCCAACTTCTCCACGTACCCTTCCCCCCCCCCCCCCGCGCTGCTGGTTGCTCTAATAAGCGCACTAGCTGGCAGGGGGGGCAGAGGGGGGGGGGAGACGCGTGGGAGGGAAAAATGGGGGAGAAGAGGGGAGGGAGGAGGGAGGAAAAACGAAAGGTCCACGACAGCCATGTCCCCTATGGTTAAGAAGAACGTGAATTGGGGAGAAAGTGGGGAAGACGAGGGCGACGTAGGAGGAGGGGAAGAGGGTGGAGGGGGGGGGGGTGGGTCCACGACTGCCATGTCCACTGAGGGCCTTTTTGTACAAACTGCTCCAATTCCTCCACGCAGCCACCGGATGCTGCTGGTTGTTCTGATAAGCGCACTAGCTGGCAGGGGAGGGGGCAGGGGGAGGGAGTGGGAGGAGAGGGGGAGAAGAGGGAGGCATGAGGGAGGAACGGGCGAATCTGTATGACTGCCATGTCCCCTATGGGCCCCAGATTCACAAACCGCTCCCAAGTCCTCCACCTCCACGTAGACAGCAAATGAGAGCTGCCATGAGCACCAGCGGATGGCGATGTGCACCAGAGTAGGAGTCACATGTTCACCTGAAAATTGTCCCGGGCACCTGAGAAAGTCGCCACGTGGGAGGGACCCTCAGAACGCCACGTGTGCATGAGAGCCCTAAACACACATGAGAGCTACCACGAACACCTGAGTGCACCTGGCAGTCATCATGATGAGCTCCATAAGCACCTGACAATCGCCACGAGCACCTGGAAATTGCCATGTGCACCTGAGAGCCGCTATAAGCACCTGAGAGTCGCCGTGTGCAGAGCCAAGGAAGACAACTCCGTTGTCAAGATACGAGATGGTGGAAGGTGACGATACCGAGCCCAGTGTCTCCAGCTTCATGGTCACCACTCTGTGGCGCATGCAAGGCGGGAGAAAGATTGTGAAACGCACATGGGCAAAAGGGAAGGCAGGACAACGATGCCGATCCGATTGCCTCCAGCCTGTGGAGCAAGGAGAGGCGGTGGATTGAACAAGCATGGGCACGAGGGACAGGAGGGAGACGAGACGAGTCGGAACCTGGTGATTGCCCTCCTGGTTACCACAGGGGTGGAGTGGAGCACGCTGTGGGAGACAGGGAATTGAAGGGGAAAAGCTTTTGAGGCGCCTCAAAAGCACAGGGAATTGAAGGGGAAAAGGGACTCGTTGCGTGAAGGCTCAAGCAGCGTCGCTTTGTTGTCAATAACGAACCAGCAGCATCAGAGATGGCCCACGAGGTCTCCCAGCATACGGGCAGGGAGAAAGGTCCGTACCGTACAAAGACACCATGCTTTCTACGCCCTCACTTCTGGCAGCCAGCACAAACTGCTGTCTCACCACCGAACCTCGCTTCGTCTAAGCACCAGCAGCATGGGAGAGTCCCCATGTGGTCCCCCCCTTGCCCAGCATGAGGTCAACACAGAAGCAGCATGCTTGCATTGTCCTTTTCAATGGCCGCTAAAGCTCACCTGTCCTTGTCTCTGCTGAGCGCCAGCAGCATGAGCGTGCCCATGTGATCCCCCAGCAGGTAGCGCGAGCCGTCAGGATCCACGCGACCATATGCCTCCACCAAACACTGGATGCAGGAAGTGAACAGGCGAGCGTGGATTGAACAGGGAAAGGCGGGGTGTTGACAGGGGAGGCGGACGGGAGAGAAGCACAGACTCGCACAGATTGAGCAGGTTTGCTTCTATAATGTACCTGCTGCCACAATTGTCCTCTCATCAGAAAATATGCAGACGCACTGCTCCCTCATCCTCACTGCAAGCAGACTCACCGGGAGCATAACCCCGATTATCTTCTCTGCTCTCCACGACAAGATCATGCTTCCCCCTCCCACCATACATTCCCACAACTTAGCACTCATCGCCATGCCTCTACACTCACTGGGCGCATGGGCAGTGCCTTGAGCATGGCCCCATTGTGGTGCACTGTGCCCTGCTCGCCCTTGACACAAACCTGATTGCCCGTCCTCGAGCACAATGCCATGCCGCTACTCCACACTCACCGGGCGCATGGGCAGTGCCTTGACATTGCCCCCATTGTGATACACAATGCTCTGCTCGCCCACGATGATGGCGCCCCCCATGGGCGCCGGCACCGGGATGATCAGCGCCGCCCCGCCGTCCAGATTGCTCTGCAGCCATGGGCCGTCCGAGAAGTCCTTGTCTCGGACCTGGGGGTTCAGGGTTTCGGGTTAAAAGAACAAGGAGTCTAGTCTAATAGAAGATCTTTACTTCTTCGCCAGGATGATCAGCGCCGGTCCCCCATCCAGATTGCTCTGCAGCCAAGGACCGCCTGATCTGAGAAGGCCATGCCCCGGACCTGAGGGGTTAGGGTTTGAGGACATAGCATCATGAGGAGGTGGGGAGACCGTGCCTTTTCTCATGCGCGCCGCCCTGCTGTCCAGATTGCTCTGCAGCCATGGGCCGTCCGAGAAGTCCTTGTTGCAGACCTGCCAAGGCAAAGGTTGAGGTTTAAAATGTTTTATACCTGGTTTTTAAACCCCCCCCCCCCCCCCCCCCCTTCCCCCTCTTCCACTTCTTCACCAGTCTAAGCTAAGTTGACCTCTCCCACTCTTAGAAAGTTTCAGGGCGACACTCAACGATAACGCGGCAGCACAACCGTGTGCATATGCTTATGGCCTACTTGTCACACAGTGCATGAAGATCCCAAAAGATGTGATGTGAGCGGCGCCGGCAAGCAAGCAACGCACCTGCACTTCGTATGTCTTGACGTGTCTGGCATCCTTGTTGTCCTGCAGTTAGCAATGGCAGAAATGGAGGAGAACCGAGCAATAAAATCCATTGGTGATGTTGCACTGTCGCAAGAATTGACACAACTCCTCTTGTAATGAGAGTCAGGACATGGTGTGCGATGAAGAAAGTGATACGGCAAGTAAACGGCAGGATAGAGAATAAACTGTTTTGCTATGTACACTTGTCCGTGCAACCAGGCGTTGGACTTCATGCTACGCTGCTTTGACATGCGAAAGGAACCATGTGCTGTGTCTTCCATGTTGACCCGAGCATGCCAGCAGGTACGCTTGAGAAATGCGAAGCATACCTGCTGGCATGCTCGAGTCAAACTGGAAAACATAACACGTGGTCCCTTTACCGTGTCAGCGAAACGCAGCATGAGACCATGCACCTAGTTGCAAGGACATGCAAACAAGGAGCTGTGAAGTGCCTACCTGGTAGAGCACAGCGATGGTGGGCCGCTCACAGCCGTACAGAAACTTGATGTCGATCACTTGCAACTCCTCCAGGCTGATGCATGCACAGCAAGATGCACATCAGATAAGGACAAGGGGGGAGCGGGGAATGGATACTGTGAAGCTTCTAGAAGGTAAGACGCTGCTTTTGCAGGGTGTTTTTGAGAATTCTCAAAAACACCCTGCAAAATAAAAGAGCGGGGAATGGATACTGTGAAGCTTCTAAAAGGTACCACGCTGCTGCCAAGCCCAATAAAGAGTAGGATTGGGAACCCATGCCATCCACTGAAAAGACTAACAGCACGTGTACTGGAACGGCGCGAGAATCGCTGTAGGCCTCTTATAAGTTGGCCAAGAGAGTCGGTAGGGGGCTTGAACCCACCGGATGTTGAACCCACCGAATGTTGAAGGCCTCCTTGAGGTGGCCCTTGGAGTCGATGGGGATGACCTTGAAGAGCCCGTCGTACAGATGCAGCCCTATGATGCGGAAGTCCGGGTCCACTATGCCGATCTGCCAGGGGGGGCGTGGGGTTGAAGGCGGGAGAGGAGATTATTGGGTTGACAACAGATGCAGCCCTATGATGCGGAAGTCTGGGTCCACAATGCCGATCGGCGGGGACAGTATGTTGGATTGGGGGAGAAACGGGAATGATATTGGATTGAATACAGATGCAGAGCCAGGGTCCACCATGCTGATCAGGAAGCAACAGCAGTGGGCAAGGATAGAAGGAATTGAGTTGACATGACACAAGTAGAGAATAGCACACAAGGCGCATACCACAAGGTGCTTAGGCGCATGGCACAAGGAACATTCATACCTGGCCGTTGTCTGTTGGTCGGCCAATTCGATCCGAGACGTCGCCATTGGCCCTGATGGAGCAAGGAAATAACGATAGAGGAAGCACCAGGAGAAGATAGCACGACGATGTCAAGAGTTGGGGGGAGGGGAGGGGAGGGGGGGGGGGGGAGGAGGTAAGGAAGGTTCAATACCACTACACACACACGCTGCACATGAAAAAGGTTCCATGTACTCTCCCTTACACTGCAACACGCAGACAGCACTGGTAGAACGAAATGGAGCAGAGTCTTTCAGAATTCCATTTCGTGGTGATTTCCTTGCTCGAGTGAGGGGCGAGGCAAGGCAGCCTGCCATGTGATGCAACGCATGCCATTCTGTTCAGGTGCACGAGAGAGAGCATACCGTGTGATGAGCTCCCTGGACTCGGCATCGTACTCCAGCACACAGAACTTGTATCGCTCCGTACAGATGAACAGCAGATCCTTCAACTCGCCCTGCCATGCCACGCCATGCCATGCCGCGTGGTACGTGCCGCTATATAGAGATTATTGCCATGCTGGTGCCGTGATATGACATATGGTGACTGACTATGTGATGAGGTGATATGCCATGCAATGCTGTGACAAGCCACGTGGTGGTGCCATATCAGACAATCCATGTGAGGCAAAGGCACGGCACATTGGCCCTGCCATGTCAATCCCATGTGATGTCATGTCAATCCCATGTGATGTCATGTCAATCCCATGTGATGTCATGTCAATCCCATGTGATGTCATGTCAATCCCATGTGATGTCATGTCAATCCCATGTGATGTCACATGTCAGGATATGTGGGACCATGCTGAAGCCACATACTTCCCCTCACTACTCCCCCCCCCCTTACCTACCCTCCTTCCTTCCCTCTCCCCCTCTCCCTCAATCTTCTCTCCTTCCACGTTCCTCCTAGAACCCCCCCTCCCAAACCCCTCCTCCCCCTTCACGCACCGGTGGTCTGAAGAGCTCCATGGTGGCGATGCGGCCGTAGAGGGGCACGTCTACTAGGGGCTGCGGGCAGCAAGAAACGGAAGGGGGTGACGCGGAGGGAGGATGTGGAGGGGGTTCACTTTCGGGACTCGGGGGAGATGGAGGGGGTACTCGAATTCAGATGAAAGAACAGGCAGCGATGCTGGAATCCACAAAGCTGTGATGCGCTGTGCTGAAAGACCATTCACGACTGGAGAGAGACACAAATGTGCAATGTCAGGGAAACTCGTTGAGAAGGCAGGAGCCACGAATGTGGCCTGGCAGGGGATCAAGGAAACCCAAAGAACCATATCTAAGAACCAGAAAAGCAAAAGGCGGAAGGGCAATGCAACACCATTGGACAAAAATCTCGAGACCAGCCTTGTGGACAGGGTAGGGAGATGCTGGAGGAGCGCACCTGAAGGCCCTGTGGGGTGAGAAGGTAGATCTCCATTCTCGTGGACTTGCTGCACGCGTGCACAGTGGAAGCAAGGACGGACACGCACAGGCGAAATCGAGCACAATGGTTGTGTCGAAAGCAGGAATGGGAAGGGAGGGAGAAGAGGGGCGGGGGGGGGGTTGAGGGGTGGGTGTGGGGGGGTGGATGAAGATGGAGGGAGGTAAGCAGGATTAGCTATTCAAGCAAGTGGGTGGGGATAATATTAAGGAGCTTAGAATGAAAGTGCCGGGCTCCAGTAAGCGAGGCAGGCATCGGATGACAAGTGCTCCATTGGTGTGCTCAAGTGAACACCAAGTGCTCCATTGGTGTGCTCAAGTGAACACCAAGTGCTCCATTGGTGTGCTCAAGTGAACACCAAGTGCTCCATTGGTGTGCTCAAGTGAACGAGGTCCTGGCGCATCGGAAAGAGATTGTCTGCACTGAAAATTTTCACCCTAATTTTGGAAAGTAACACACTTGACATTCAAGTAACACTGACGCAGAGCTCTCTGGAACAAAGCTCAAGCGCGATAATCTCCAAGTACTGATTGCGAGCAGCACACGTATGGAAAACTTTGAATCCACTTGAAAATCCGTGCAGGAGCTTCAGCAACAGCTCGCTCAACAGGCCCTAGTACAGCCCAAATCACTCCTAACGTCCGTTCGTGCCAAATCCCAACCTGGCGCAAACGCGCCGTGAAGTGTCACCTGGGGAGCATGGTGACTGGAAAGGCTCGCGTTTTGAGTCAGATTCGACACATCTAAAGACTAAGAGAATCTCACAGACGTGGGACGGTGGGATGATGCCTGTGAGATGACATACATGGAGAATCCAGCTCACCCAACGATTAGATTCATGTCGTGGGACCCCGTGAAGCTGCCGACCAATGAGTGCGTGACAGCTGTCGGCTTATGCGCCGTGACGACATAGTTCCAGATCGACATGCTGGACAGCGGCGTGTCCCAGTAGAAGGATTCAGACTGTAGCGGAGCAGACAGTAGCGGAGCGAAGCCGGCTGCAGCAGACTATAGCGAACAGTTTCCTGACAGTAAGAATAAACGGCAACGGAGAACGGGAATTGGTGGTGTTCGTGCTCCAATGCACAACAACGGCACAGCAATCGCACTGGCACGCACATGCGTCGTATCCCTAAAAAGACGGAATCTTCTAAGAAATATAGAGGCTATGGCCTGAACCATGGGTGGCTGGAATTGGACGGAAACGAGAGATCTGAGAAGCGCTGGTGATCGCGGACGGCTAGATTCGAGAAGGGGTAACGAACTCACAGCTCCACGAAGAGCGAACAGCGATGAAGTATGAGGCAGTAGCGAACAGCGGCTCCTCCTGCTAGTAGCAATGATCGCGGCACAGCAACGCGGAGCTCAGCGATCCTACCGATGGTTCACTATGGGTGTTACCTTTCTTCATGCCATGAATGAATAAACAGGGGCGTTCAGATTCCTCTAGTGACGAGCCCGATGCCAAGTAATACAAGGGCATGTAACTGAGTTGATAGAACGAGTTACGTTCTCAATCGTCTTTTACTGTACATTTTTTTGCCTTGGTCACTGATGGCCCATCTTACTAAATCAGCACATGTATATATTGTCAAGCCATTCAGCAGAAACCATTCGCAATACAGCTGATAAAAATACGCAAAAATTATGTAAGTAAATATCTGGCAATATTGGGTGACTGATGGTCACGCTAGGGCAAGTTAGGGTCAAGACTGATGATCTCCTGATATCGCAAGACCCCTGGCGGTGGTGGGGATGAGGATGCGCTGCCCCTCTATCATGGACACAGCAGGAGGAAATGTGGCGGGGGAAGAGGGTGGAGGAAGGAAATGAGTTGAGGGCACGGGTAGTAGAATGAATCAAAGCAGACCAGGAATAGAAGTGCAGTACACAATGGAGGAGTATAGGGTGAAAAGGTGCCAGCGGCTCTCTGAGGGGCCTTTTGGTAGATTCGTGGAGATAGGGCAGAGAGGAGTCGTCGGACTGGTGGAATGAGGAAGGATACAAGCAACCATGGCGTGGAATTATCAGGGAGGTGCATATGGCGCCTCCTATGTCCATGTCCATTTGATGCTGCATTTGTGGAGTTTCCATCTCACCTACTTCACCACTTGCCAGCATTCATTTCCTTGGCAATCAATTCCATCTATGCACTCTCTGCAGGTTAAGGAAGGGTGCGACCTAGGTTTCAGAAGGCGTTACCTGGAAGAGAAACTGCTTCACTTGACAAAAGATCTACCAGCTTGTTGCAATCCTGGAGTGACACATGAGACAATGCCAGAACATATGAAAGCGCATATGCCATACCACATCACTAACAAGAATACGTGGCAGATTGTTCCTCGCATGCACACATGCCTATTCATGCCATGCCATGCCATTGAATGGAATGCAGCGCCATTTGAGCCCGATGCATCACCATTTGAGCCCGATGAGGTGCCATTTGTGCCATGCCGTGCCGGAGAGCAAGTGGTGATCGGAAGGAATCAAAGCATGTGCAGACGATAAGATACTGAAGGCAGAGTCACAAGATGAGAATGACTGTATCATCAGGATGGATGATGATGCAGTGAATGGTGATGACGAAGTGAAGGATGATACTGCAGGGATGGATGATGCTGAAACTGGTCTACCAATGGCAACACGAGATACATATTCAGTGCATAGTGCTAGCACCTTGTCAGTTACCCTTGCACATCACCCTTGTTAGCCAACCCCTGCCAGTCCACCCTCAAGAGTCACAACCACCCACCCACCCGGGGCACATGGTGGATGGCGAAGTGGAGGGAGGACCTACATCACCAGCTGCTTTGGCATCGTCATAGCTTCCCTGCGCTTCCTCTTCAACACCAGCCCACCCACCCCCCCACCCACGCACCCACGCACCCGGGCCACATGATGCATGGCGAAGTGGTGGAAGTGCGACACCAGCTGCTGCGCCTGCTCACACTGCCCTCGTAGCGCCTCAGAATTCACCTTCCACCGCCACTGCACCTGCTCATGGTGCACGCATGTTGACGCACGCGAGTTGATGCAATGCACGCATGTTGACGCACGCGAGTTGATGCAATGCATGCATGTTGACGCACGCGAGTTGATGCAATTCACGCATATTGACGCACGCGAGTTGATGCAATGCATGCATGTTGACGCACTCGAGTTGATGCAATGCACGCATGTTGGCGTGCACACATGCTCATGCACACACACATAGTCACAACTCTCTTTTTGGCACTACCAACGCTTCTGGTCGATAGCCGCCTAGAGGATCTGCACTGTGCTCTCCACACGGCGACAAGGCATTTCGGAGGATCTACGCTGTGCTCTCCACACGGCGATAAGGCATTCCTGCACTTTTACGAGGCAATTCTCATGCTAGTACATTTTCGATAATCTAGTATTGAATGGTGCCGTAAGACGCACAACTGCTAACAAACTAAGGAAGCTCACAATGACCCTGCTAGTAGGGGAAAGTGAGGGCTCTGGCCAGCCGATCATTTGCTCGCTTTCTGCGCTTCCGCACGGACGACAATGGAAACAGCAGGATTCCTGGAGAATTGCCACAGTGATGTAGCCGTTGAGGTTTCTTACAATGGTAATTTGCTGCCAGATGGGCAACATTGGGTGGCTGATCTGCACGGAGAAGATTTGTTTTCAGAACTAGAATACGTCATCTTTTTTATCAGCGTCATTACGAACAGTTCTGAATCATCAAAATTTGCGTCATTTTCTGTTCTGATCGACAGAAAGATGTATCGACCATTCAAGACGCGACACATAGGCACAAACCTGTTTCAACCCCAAAAACGCAATCGAGCACCTCGGTTTTCGTTAATTATTTCGCTAGTGGCCCTTCTTCGTTATCCGCGTCATAAATGACCCAAAACTCCAAAAAATGTAACTAAGTGGACCGTGTTAATATGAATTTCATGCTGACGTATATTCTCCAGAATAGTCATACAATATTGCTGAAATCATGCTTTGCAAAACAGAGACAATAAATTTTAATTAAAAAATGGATGAACTATAAGCAAGTTTGTGGTCCATAAAATATTATGTGTGTTGAAATTTTGTGTTTTTTATCTATGTAAATCAACCATTTCGCATTTTTAGTAGCCTAAGTTAGTTTGGTTGGATTCAAAAGTAATAAAATATGAAGGGATAAATCCAATGATGCAACAAGGCTCAAGGTGTAAGCTCAATTAATATGTTATACATTTATATTAGTCTTAGTACTGGGTCATTTGTGGCTCAGATAACGAAGAAGGGCCACTAGCGAAATTATTAATGAAAAACGAGGGGCTCGGTTGCGTTTCGGGGGTTGAAACAGGTTTGTGCCTATGTGTCGCGTCTTGAATGGTCGATACATCTTTCTGTCGATCAGAACGGAAAACCACGCAAATTTTGATGATTTAGAACTAATCGTAATGATGCTGATCAGAAAGATGACGTATTCTAGTTCAGAGAACAAATCTTGTCCGTACAGATCAGCCGCCCAATGTTTCCCATCCGGCAGCAAATTTCCCTTCTTATAAATAGGTGGCGCGCAGCCTCGGTACTGCGTTTTTTTTTTTTTTTTTTTTTTTTTTTTTTTTTACGGGCAGCCTTTGCGCAAAAGAGTTAGGGTAATTTGCTGCTAGATGGGCAGCGTTTGGTCGCTGATCTGTACGGACAAGATTTGTTCTCAGAACTAGAATACGTCATCTTTCTTATCAGCATCATTACGAACACTTCTGAATCATGAAAATTTGCGTGGTTTTCCGTTTTGATCGACGGAAATATGTATCGACCATTCAAGACGCGACACATAGGCACAAACTTGTTTCAACCCCAACAGCGTAACCGAACGTCTCGGTTTTCGTTAATAATTTCGCTAGTGGCCTTTCTTGGTTATCTGCGCCATAAATTTCACATAACTCCGGAAAAAATAACTAAGTGGACGGTGTTAATATGAATTTCATGCTGACGTACATTATCCAGAATAGTCATACAATATTGCTGAAAATCATGCTTTGCAAAACAGAGACAAGAACATTAAATAAAAAAATGTTTGAGCTATCAGCAAGTTTTTTGTCAAGAAAAATATTATGTGTGAAAAAATCAGAATTGCCACCCCAAAAAACTAAAAGCATCGTATCACGAACTCACTTTGGGAAACATAAGTGTTCTTGTTTTTTGCATTGTGGATGTCATCTGTTGGAAATACCTCGAAGACGGTACTACAAACCATACAAGCCGGTGTACTAGAAAAGGATGCTCTTCTCACAACGAGCGGCCAGGAGCTTCGACGACCCCGCGCACGATGCTTCACATGCCCCGAAGCTGATCTTCCCCACCAACCTTTCACGTCGCACCACAATCCAAGTGCACCTGCATACGAACCGATGGAAAAAGTCTACAGCGACATCTTAAATATGCCTCGAGACGACAGTGAAGCAGAATACAACTATGTCATCACGTTCATCGACGCAGCAACACGATACGTCTAGCACTACAACCTCAAGACACGATATCAAGCATTCGAAGCCTTCACGACGTGGCTCCCCATTGCTGAACGAGAATCGGGCTCGCAACTCAAGAGTTTCCAGTCAGACGGGGCACTAGAGTACCAGTCACAACGATTCAGGAAATACTTGGCAGAAAGAGGCATCAGACGCCTGGTGTCTCTGCCCTACGCTCACCAGCAGCAGGGGGTCGCAGAAAGGATGAACAAAACCTTGCAGACGTCGATACGGAAGCTGTTCCTGGGGATGAGATTGCCCTCCACGCTTTGGCTTGACGCGATGACGCATGCAGTACACCTGCACAATTTGCGGTCCTCGACGTCACTTCCCAACAACGCATCACCGCACCTGCTATAAACAGGAACACAGGGCAGCACGAAATTACTTCGAGTCTTCGGCTACATGGTACAGTACAGACCCCACACAGCTCGAGCAGGACGATTCTCTCAACGAGCACGGTGGCGACTACACCTCGGCATCGCAAAACATTTCCAAGCATGGAAACTTCTCGACATCCAAAACAAAGACACCGTGGCCTCACGTGATGTGATCGTCTATGAGCGACTGATGCTGCAGCATTACCTCAACAACATCGCCAACACAACATACAGTGACGGAAATAAGTGGGCTTATTAATCCACTGCAGTACATAGACTTTGTGATTTGTCATGATATGTTGTTATAATCCAACCATAACATATTGCAAATTGTGCCCCTTGACGTCAGCTACACAATGCATTTGGGTGTTGTAACTTTTATCGATTCTATTGTAAAGAGTGCAATAATAAGCGTTCGTTACTCGATGCGGACACTTTTGGCCCACTTCGCGTCCAGATCTATTTCCTGCCTGCATTACGCGACCTCACAACCTACGCTGCCATTTTTCTCTGGATAGTCCAGCGGCAACTACGCC